TTTCTTGTCTCTTCCTTCCTTTCACCACTGTACCTTGCAGTCATGTGTTGCGGTGCTATCAGCATTGCTCTTTTTGCTCAGGATGGCTTTGGCTATTTTGGGTCTTTTGGGCTTCCATATGATTTGAGAGTTACTTTTTTGAGCCCTGTGAAGAATGTTGTATTTTAATAGGGATCCCATTGAATCTGTAGATTGCATTTAGTAACATGGCTATTTTAACAGTAATAGTTCTGCCAACCCGTGATAAGCAAGGGAGGTCTTTCTGTTTTCTAATGTCTTCTTTAGTTTATTTCTTCAATTATAGAATAATTTTCATTATAGAGGTCTTCCACCTTCCTGCTTGGGTTGATTGCTTGGTGTTTTATTTTATTTTAAAGGTACTGCGAATGGAATTGTTTTCCAGTTTTCTTTTTTGGTGGGTTCATTATTGGTATAAAACAGAGACATTGATTTTTGTGTGTTGATTTTATGTCCTGCCACTTTGCTGAATGTGTTCATTGGATCTAAAAGCTTTCTGGTAGAGGCTTTAGGGACTTCTATGTAAAGGATCATATCATCCCCAAGTAGGGATACTGTAATTTGACTTCTTACTTTCTTAGTATTTGTATCCCTTTTGTTTCTTTCTTTTACCTAATTTTCCTGGCTAAAACTTCAAGCCAGGACCATATACTGCCCAGCATATATGAGCAGGAGAGGTACGAGTAGATACCCTTGTCTTATTTCTTATTTTAGAGGCAATTACTTACGCTTTCCATATTCACTATGAAGTTGGTGGTAGACTTGTCACATATAGCTTTTATTAATTTGAGGAAAGATGTTTCTACATCTATTTTCTTCAGGATTTTTATCATGAAGGGATGTTGAATTTTGTCAAAGTCTTTTCTGCATCTATATGATCATGTGATTTTTAAATATCTTTGGTTCTTTTTATGTGCTGTATTGCATTTATCGACTTATATGTGTTAAACTAGCCTCATATGCTTGTGATGAAACCAACTTGATCATAGTGTATGATTTTTTAAAATATATTGTTGAATTCTTTTTGAAAGTATCTTATTGAAGATTTTTGCCTCTGTGTTCATCCAGGATATTGGTTTGTAGTTTTCTTTATTGTTGATCCTTATCTGGTTTTGGTATTAGGGTAATCAATGCTGGCTTCAGAGAATGAATGTGAAAGTGTTCTTTCCCTTTATAATTTATGGAAAAGCTTGAGAAGCATTGGTGTTTAAAGGTTTGGTGAAATTTAGCAGTAAACCCATGAGATCATGGGTTTATCTTTGTTGGGAGAATTTTTATTCAATATTTCAATCTCATTGCTTGTTAATGTTCTGTGTAGATATTTACATATTCTTAGTTCAGTTTTGATAGATCATATGTGTCTAGGAATTTCTCCATTTCTTATAGCTTTTCTAATTTATTGGAATGTCAGTTTTCATAATAGTTTCTGACAATCCTCTGAATTTCAGTGGTACCTGTTGTAATTTTGCCTTTTTCTTCTCAATTTTATTAATTTGGGTGTTTTCTCTTTGTTTTGTCAAGTTTAACAAATGGATTAGCATTTTTTTATATTTTCAAAGAACTATTTGACTTATCCTATGTTTTTCTTTTAGTCTCCATTTCATTAACTCTCACCTCTGATTTTATTTCTTTTCTTCTACTGGATTGATTTGTTCTTATTTTTCTAGGACCTTGATATATGTCACTAGGTTATTTATTCGGGATCATGCTGTTTTTCTGGTATGGGCACACATAGGTATAAACGTCTTTCTTAGAACTGCTTTCATTGTGTCCGATAAATTACGATATATTGTGTTTTTGTTATCATATGATTCTAGGAATTTAAAAATTTTTTTCCTTGATAATTTCAGTGACTCACCATTCATTCTGAAGTGTGTTATTTAGTCTTCATATGTCTGTGTAATTTCTGTGGTTTCTTCTTTCTTTCTTTCTTTTTTTTCTTTTTTTTTCTGGTACCAGGGATCAAACTCAGGACCTTGTTTTTGTGAGGCGGGCGTGGTGCTACTGAGCTAAATCCCTGGCCCTTCTGTGGTTTCTTTTGCTGTTGATTTCTGGCTTCATTGCACTGTGATCTAAAAGAATGCATGCAATTATTTAAATTTTTGTATTTATGAAGACTTGCTTTGTGGCCTAAAATATGGTCTATTTTAGAGAAAGTCCCATGGGCTGCTGAAAAGAAAGTGTATTCTGCTGCTGTTGTTGAATGGAATACTCTATAGATGTCTGTTTAAGTCTATTTGATCTATAGTGTGTTTTAACTCTGATGTTTCTTCGTTGATTTTTTTTTTTTCCGTCTAGGTGACCTATCTATTTGTGAGCATGGACTGTTGAAGTCATCCACTATAATTGTATTGGATGCTGTCTGACACTTTATGTGAGATGTTTGTTTTGTGAAATTAGGTGTACTGAGGTGTACTGTATCTTCTTAGTGAATTGTTCCCTTTACCAATACATAATGGCCTTCTTTGTCGTTTCTACAATATATCATAGTCAAACTATGAAAAAATTCAGAAAAAAATATTAAAGGTGATCAGAAAGAAATGCCATACCACTTAGATCCTTTCACTTTTACTGTATGTCTTTGCAGATGAGATGTATTTCTTGCAGGTAACATTAGTTAAGCCTTGTTTTTGATACAATCTGCCAGTCTATGTCTTAGGTATGTACTAATTCTTAAAATTTTGTTGTTTTTCTAGTGTTTTATTCATTTCTGATTTTCATTTGTTTATTCCACAATGAGATTTATTCTTTCCCTTCATCCCATAGTTACAATTTTCCCCTTCTGTGTTTAGGATTTTCTTATGTACTTTCTGAAATCTCAGCATAGTGGTAATGAATTTATTTATATTTATTGGGTAAGGCCTTTAATTCTTCTTCAGTTTTGAAAGGATAGCTTCGTGAGATATAGTAGTTTACGTTGACAATTTTCTTTCAAGGCTTGAAATATGTCATTCCAAGTCCTCCTGGAATTTAGAGTCTCTTTTGAGAAATATCCCATTATACTGATGGTTTTACCATAGTATATGTTTTAATATTATTTCTAACAGCTTTTTGTTCTGTTTTACATTTACATTTTTTGAGTCAAGGTGTCACTATGTAGTCCAGGCTGGTTTTGAATTCACTCTGTAGCCCAGGCTGGCCTTAAACTTACAGGTGATCCTTCTTCCTCAGCCTGTCCAGGTAGGGCACTATAGGCATGCACCACCCTGCTCAATTTCTGTAACAGCTTTTAGTAATCATCCTTTGTTATGACCTTTTGCAGTTTGGCTATGATTTCTTGTGGATAGGTTCTTTTCTGGTCATGTCTATTTAGGGGTTCTAAATGCCTCTGGTACCTGGGTGTCTGTTTCATTTTCCAGCTTTGGGAAATTTTCCATTATTTCAGTGAATAGGTTTTCTATGCCATTAGCCCATGTTTTCTCACCCTCGAGCAGACCAGTGAGTCTTAAATTTGTTCTTTTAGGGTTTCCAATTAATTACTCTGTAATAATTTTTCATTATCATTTTTCTTTTTTTATTGTCTGAATATTGTAGTACTATTTATATCCAAGAAAGAAAAGGGGAGAGAGGGAAGATGTGAGCAGGTATGAGGAGGGAGAAAAGAAAGGAGAAAAAGGAAGGGAATAGAAATTGGAAGTGAGTGTTATGGTTTGTGTTTAGATGTCCCCCCAAAGCCTCCTGCAGAGGAGGTGGGACTTTTTTTTCAGAGGTAGTTGAATCTGGAATGTGTGATTCTGGGGTTAGAGGCATGTGATTACTAAACGTGAGCGATTAGTTTAGTACCGCCCTAATCAGGATAGGCTTGATGGAATAAAAGAGACAGAAAGACGCTGGTAACTCTCCTTACCTTTCCTACCTGGTTGGCGCCGTGCTGTTTCTCCTCTGTGACGCCTGTTTGTCACCTCTGCCTTGGAATTGGCTGAATATGGACTGAAACCTCCGCAAACTGTAAGCCAAATAAACCCCTTCCCCTCCAGTTTTGGGTGTCCGGTAGGTATCTTGTCTCATCCATGAGAAAGGTAACTAACACAGTGAGGAACAGCCAGGCGCCAATGAAAAGCGCCAAATGATTGTCCACAAACGGGCCAATGAGCAGGGAGTTTAAACCTGAGCCGGGCTGGCTCCTCCCACGAGTTTTGCAGGACCAGCTGTGGATCACCCATAGGTTCCTGGTCTCTGGTGGGTGCCCCAGGCACTCCTAGTCGTTAAGAACACAAAAAGTAATGCTGAAAATAAGGTCACCGTCAGTATGGCAGGCGCAAAGCCCAGCCTCGGGGCAGCCAGCAAGCTGGTGACAGCTTTTTTCACCCTTGGTTTTGGGTTTGGGTCACATGCAGTGCCCAGCACACAGGGGCCTGCTGGGCACTCTCCTACTGTTAACTAGGCAGAGGGATAAGGCGGGGCAGGGGTGGCTCTGTGAGAGAGGGGAGCTGGAGCAGCCGGGGCTAATGCAGGCGGCAGTGTCCTCGGTTTGGACCAGGTAGGTATGTTGGCCACGTAGACTTGGGTTTGAAGCCTGGCTGTGCTTCCTCTCTGTAACACGGGGGTCACAGTGACACCTACCTTATTAAGCTATTGTATGATTTAAATCAGGTGCTTAGCAAGTGTCTGTCACAGGGCCGGAACATTTGGTATCCTGGGAAAGATGGGAGCAACATCATGTCTGTGCCACTGTGATTGCTGGTTCGTTTTGCGTGTGACGTTGGCTGGAGCACTACTCCCAACTCAGTGTGTCCCAGCCCCCACGCGCACATCAGAACACTGTTCCCAGTGCGTCGGTATTGGTCATGGAGCCTTTGTGAAGGTGACCAGGACACCTATACCTTCACTATGATGGACCAGGGGAGCAGGTGCCCGAGCGGTCCCGATTCACTCAGCTTTTGCTTTAACAACTACCGACAGACTGACGCCAGAAAGAAGTCACTTTTCTCATGTTTTATTGTAAAATCCTCAGAAAAAGAGCATTTACAATGACAATACTTTATGATAATCCGTGAGTCATTTTTTAAAAAATCAAGTGGTACTGCAAATACATCATGTGTTCAATACCGTGTCATACATCAAAGTAAACACAAACTTATTTCATATGCCACATACTGTTACTGTGTTGGTACAAATTTCTACTAAAGTTGATGTATTAAAAATAATTTATATATATTTTATAAATAAGGAAAAATTCACATGTATAATTACAGGAGACCTTTTGAGAAATACTGGTGATTACAGAAAATATATTTCGGAGTTTACACAACTGCTCAAAATAATGCAACCTGCCTTGACAGAGGCTTGACAGATGAGAGATCTGAAAGTTTTCTGAGGTCGGGAGGGGTGAGAATCTTAACGGGGGGATGTGGCTTCATGTCTTGAGGGCCATTTGATAACACAACAGCATGAGTCAGTGTGCGCGACCGCTTCAGCAAAACTCCATGCCCAGTTCTGCTTTGAGGTCATTTCACATGACCTTCAGAAAGCACAAGCAGCAGCAGAAAGGTAGGAAGCAATGGGGTCAGGGGAGGAAGGGAGAGGGCTGGCCAGCCTTGGGAGCCAGGCAACAAGGGAGTGGTGGGGGCTAGGGGCAGCAGGCCTGGGTGGGTGGGTGGGTGGCCGGCCTATAGGCCTGCTTCCCTTGCCCCTCAGAAGTAGCAAGAGACTATCGGGCTTGGGATGGGGGCCAAACCACAGAGACTGCCTTGTGGAGCGAGGGCTGAATGCTCCAGAGCCCTCTAAGGCAGGGGCCAGTTCTCTGGGGCCATATGGAAAAAGGATGGTCCCATATCCATCCGGGTGAGTTTCAATAGGGTGTGTGAACTGTGACTTTGTGTGAAAAACAGAACAAAACAAGACAAAACAGAAAACCAGGCTACACACTCTGGTGCTGGCCCAGGAAGCCTCGCTGTGGATTTTGGAAGTTAATCCCCACTCCCCTGAATTTCCCATATTTCCACACTCCTTATCTGATTAGATTAGGCCTCCCTGCTGGCTGCCCATGGCCAGAAGGAGGACACAGAGGCCTAAGACAATGCTTGCTCAGCTCTGAGTATCTGCTGGGTGGCTCATGCCCAAAGCCTGCAGGCCGGGATAAGATGTTCAAATCCTCCAGTGACTTGGCAGGTGAGCTGGTGTGGACAAAAGCAGGAAGAAGGCTTGTGGTCCACCAGCTACTCCGAGTCTTAAGTCTTGTAGTCACACCCTGAGGATAGGCATTGTATTTTTTTCCCCTTTAAATTTTTAAGCTTCTCTGTTTTATGGTCCCTGTGATTTGGAGAGAAAACAAGGCAGTTATTAACTTTCTTGAACAAAACTGCTGTGCCTACACGCCAGTCTCAGAGCAGATCATAGCATCTGGCCTTTGAGTGACTCCTTGCTTGAATCCACAGCAAGAAAGCCCTCTGGGTGGAGGCCGCCTGGGGTGTGCGGTGGGAAGGTCGCTGCTCCTGGAGGGTGGCAGCTGTGGTGGAGTGGCTCATGAGCAGAGGGCCGAGACACAGGCGGGGCACAGGAAAGGGAGAGAAAGGATGGGAGTGGAGGGAGGCCAGGGAGGCTCCACTGAGGCTCCACCGAGACAGCTGGGTCTCTTCTTGCTGGACAGTACTGACTCCCCTGGTGGTTCCGAGTGAGCTTTCTCTACTCCTGATCTCCTAACTCCACAGACTACGTGCCTGGCTCTGGGGTGTGCTTGTGGACAGCAAGGGGCTGCGTTCTGACAGGTTCTGATTGCACTTGGAGTGGAGTCAGCGGTGCTGGGTGGGGGAGTTGGGCAGGGGACTTCCTGGTCAGCACTGCAGTCATGTGACATCGCCTGTGTGGCCTCCCGGCCCGAGGGCCACATATTCAGGTGGTGTTCGGTGCTGGGGGAGAATGTGAGGTAGATTGGTGGATGCATAGGAGGGAGGAGGAGCCGTCAGCCCCTCTGGAGGCTTGTTTCTGAAGAGGGGGAGGGTTGGAGAGTTGGGTTTTCCTAGTGAAGATGGTCCAGTGTCCATGGTATTTGAATGAAACACATTATGAAAAATGAATTTACTATACTTCTAAGCCCCCTTGTAGAAAAATATATCCAGAATGAATCTTTTTCACATCTCAGTTCTGAAATCTCCCTTAGTTCACAGGTTATTGGTCAATAGAAAACAAGGTGTGGCCCTACAAAGCCAATTTCTGGCTGCTTTCCTAAGTGGAGACTCAGCAGTTATGACGCTTCTTGATAGCAGGCTGTTCTCGGCTTTATTTGGGGTTGCATGCTGCTCTCCAGGGCGTCTCCCTGGAGCTGGGAGCCCTTGTTTTGGCACACATGAGCAGGGAGATGGGGCGATGGGTGGGGTGGGAAGTGCGGGGACTGAGCTCTGTCTCCGGTGGTGCTGCTGTGGGTCAGTGGACCGGGGCTGCTCTGAGTAGTTGGCCCCTGCCAAGACTTCGGAAGGCTCTTCAGACTTCCTCCTGTGGATTGGGCAAGGTAGCAGGACACGCGAGTAGTTTGGAGACGGAACAGATCAGTGTGGGCCAGCTCAAGCAGAGCTAGGTCAGTTTCATGGAGGCTGACAGTGGCCTTCGCCGTGGCAGGTGTGGCCTGCCCTCAGGCCTGCTTCTGCAGGAGCTTCTTTGTGTTGGCCAGAAGCCGAAAGCCTCTGGTCATGCCGTCGTCCATTTGGGGTTGGCTGGAGGAGCTTTGGGATCCAGAACCTTCATGCAGAGTCCTGTCTGTTCGGCCAGAAAGAGAACAGGAACCTCCATTTCAAAGCCTCCATATTGCCTTGGGTCCACGCTATTTGTGTTTATTTTTCTGGTAAAAACGAACTGTTGATTTTTGTGAAATCCATTCTCCTTTATAATTACTGATTACGTTTATGTAAGTAGCTTTTTGGTGATTCTTTTGGTAAATCGGCCTTTCTTTAATAATGCAAACTGTCAGTTGCTGATCTTTGCGTTCATCAGCATGACCACTTGCCGGTTTGCTGGACGAGGCCCATCTGTGGTGTCGTCAGCTCCCTTGCTGGCTTTCAGACTGCGTGTTAGAGCTTCCTCCGGGACTGAAGTGTGGGAGGAAGGGTAGGCAAGCTCTGGCTGACTGTCCCCAACTCCAACCACAGCAGATCTGTTGTTTTCAGTGCTATAAAAATTTGTCCTCCTGCTTTTGTGATTCTGCATCCAGGGAATGAGTCCCTGCAGCTCTGAGCCAGGCTTTAGGCCTGCGATTTCCTGCTCTGACTCAGTTTTGTCCTCCCTGCTGCCCGGAGACCTGTGCTGGCCACCATGTCTCAGATCTTTACCGTGAGGACAGTGACCAGAAGGCATGGTTCCCAGGTGCACTCAGGCGGAAGGAACACTGGCAAAGGAGCAGCTGGTCTGCAAGTCGATGCTGGCACTCCCTGGCTAAAAGGCCAGTCTGGATTGATTGGTCTTTTCCTGAATCCTGTGACCCCCAGGGGCTGATGTTCTGGCCTCATAGTTGTGGGGAGGGCTCTTGTTCCTCCTTGAGGCCCACAGGCATGTCTTCTATCAGGGGCTGATGCCGTTTCACCCAAAGGAGAAGTTCATGAACGCTGGAGGATTTCAGTGATAAACACAGGAGTTTGGGAATTAATATATCAAGATATTGAGGCTGGAAAAAAAAGGCAAGATATGTTATCCTTCACCCCCAGCTTTGGAGTATTACCAGTCTATATCTGCATGTCTTACCTTAAAAAAAAAAAAAAAACAGTGTGAACACACATGTAGGCACACTCGTGGGAGTCCTATGGGACAGGGGCTTGGTGGCCCAGCAGACAGGAGACACAGGAGAGGTTCGGCCCTTGTGGAAACTGGGGTGGGGCAGGAGGAGCGGAGAAGGGGCTGGGTGTATGGAAAGTGATACATTGGCAGGTGAAGGAGGCTAAATTAGCTGAGGCGTCTGAGTCAGGACCACCTCTGCCAGCCCGGAGAGGCTTACAGAGGGATCAAGCCAGAAAGCATGTGCAGCGCTGTGTAGGGCTGGGGCATCAGAGCCAAGCGCCTGGGCTGCAGGGAGAAAAGAAATCCAGCTTTAAAAGGTGCGGCTTCCCGAGCCTGGAGGGCTCCTGTCCTTGGGGCCTCTGCACTGAGCTCAGAGGCCACCTGCACCTGGTCAGGTGGCTCCAGACCACCCTGAATCTGGGGCCTGACCACTGAAATGTCCCCTTTTCATGGTGAGGAGCAGCGCGCAGGGCTTGTCCTGGTCTCTTGGGGTCCCTGCGCAGGACAGCATCTTTACCGGTAAGGTGGCCAGATCTGCATTCTGGGAGTCAGGGGAGGCAATGGCGGAGCAGGCTGCTGTGGCTAATAAGCTTTCTTCTCTCTGGCTGTGGAATGTGCGGCTGTGACCCTCAGAGTCATGGCCTAAGGCAGGAAAGAACACAGCTGAACTGCGAAGAGCGTCTTTCTGCTTACTAGCATTTCAGATTATAAAAAATTATTTTTCAATCAAAAATTTCCAAAATAAAGCGAGTGATTTCCCGTCCCCCAAGGTGCAGTCAGTTGCAATGGCTCTCCCTCAGGCAATGGCTCTCCCTCAGGCCTACGAGTCAGGTGGGAAGGAGAGCAAGTAGCAGCGGAGAAAGAGGAAGCAGGGTCCTAAGGGAGCCAGGGCAGATGGCCCTGACCACCGCGAGGGAGGGTCCTGCTCCTCCCCACCCAGCCCTGCTTTGGGCGGCTGCTTCAGGGTCTGCGGGACAGGACAGTGACAGAGGTGTCAGCCTGGAGCACAGGATCTCTGGGGGCCGTGGCGTTCCCAGGTGACTTGGCGTGCAGCCCGGCATAGCAGCGATTCCCTTACACAGCAGCAGTGTTCTCATTGTAGCTCAAGGCGAAAATCATACTTCCTAATGGAGTGGAGCATACCTTATACTAGGAAACTTGCAAGACCAGTGTTGAACCACAAAGCGGATACGGGTGTTTGCTTTTGTCTGTGAAATGTATAGCGTGCCTTTTGGGGGCTGCGGCGTCAGGACTGCCCAGTGCAGCCGCCCGGGCTCCCTCATACCTCGCCCACCCACACCACAGCGGCCGCCTGCCTCACGCCCGCCACCTCGCACCGCAGTGCGCTCCTTCTCCCATTGATCAGGAACAGAGACTCCGGCCCTGGTGTGAGCAGGTACTGTCCGAACAGCCCGCTGTCCCTCAGGACCCTGCGGGGTGACCCCCAGGGCCAGGCGGGCCCCGTCTTGCGTGGCGCCTTCAAGTTGTTCAGCATGCCCATCTTCCCAGTGGACAGCTGCAGGAAGAGCAGGCCGGGCGCCGTCGCCAGGGTGGCATAGACGTCGTACTGCCCGCCCTCGGTGAAGGAGCGCTGGAAGGCCAGGTCCGAGAGGCCCGCGCCTATCTGCAGGTCGTAGAGGGTCTGGATCTCCCCCCGCACCGTGACCTCCTGCACGTATAGCCGGGGGCTGTCGGTGGCAGCACTGACGATGAAGCGCCCGTCGGGGGACACGTGGGGGGTGCCCGTCACCTCACCATTGGGCCCCAGCACGGAGTCTGTCACGCTGTCGACGAGCAGCTGCGGGGTGGCGGGGGCGCGGGTGTCCTGTCGGCACTGGATGAAGATGTAGCCGCCCAGGTGGGTGTGCGCCATGGCCGCCGGCACACAGCCGTGGTGCCCCAGGCCGATGGTCTTGAGCGGCATCAGTGTCTCCAGGTCGACTTTGTGCACTGCAGGCTCGGACTTGTTGAAGAGGAAGCCAAACCTGGGAGGGGAAGCACCGAGGTCAGAGAGCAGGAGGAGGCTCCTCCCAGGGCCGAGGGAAGCGTCACCTATCCCCCCCACCCCGTCCCTTTATCAAGGTCTGTCAGTGATCTCACCGCCCTTAACAAGATGCAGACTTCCTGCCCACATCACCTATGTCCTCACGCTGGCTGCTGTTCCGTGACTAATGTTCCTGGACTCGCGCTCTTTTGATATGCACTTGTCTTCAGGGTGTGTTTTTTTTTCAGTGTTGGGGAGTGAACCCAGGGCCTTGCGCATGCCCAGTGCTCCACCAGAGTTACCCCGACTTTTCCTCCCTTCCTCCCTCTCTCTCTCCCTCTCTCCTCCCCTCTTTCCCCTAACATAAGTCCCAGCTGGAAAATAATGAGCCTTGAAAACTAGAGCTCAAAGATGCCAGCCCTGAACAGCCTGTCCTGGCCTCCCCTTCCCCGCCATTGCTGATCTCTTGCTCGGTGGCTGCTCTGCAAGGCAGGGAAGGCTCACCTGATGTGGTTGATGACGAGGTTTGTTGGAGGAATGAAGAAATCATCCACTCCTGAAAAAGGCGTTCGGATGAGGTGCTGGCCCTGGCCAGTGCTGGCTTCTGTGATCACCTGCAACACAGAGCAGGGTTCTTGTGAGGGCCTGCCAGGTGGAGGACACCTGAGGACAACTGTGGGCTCTGGTCCAGGGCCCTAGCCAAGAAGCGCTTGGAGAGAGAGGGTGGCCAAACCGATCTCTGGCAAGGGGCAGGGGCCATGCAGGAGCTGCATAGGGCTGTCAGGGGTTAGGGAAGGGACAGGAGGTAGTGGACAGTTCCTCTCTCCCGCTGGGTCAGCCCCAGGATGGCAGACAGGGACCTGTGGCATGGTGTTGGGCTTCTGAGGTCCCCACAATGGAAACCTCCGATTTTTCACAGGTAACCCCCACCCCCAGGTAATCCACCTTCTCCATTTTGAGGCTACCCTAGGGACACTTGAGTGGCTTTCTAGTTTCAGGTACCTACAAATAAGGGCAGCCCCTATGGGCAGATGGGGCAGGCCCTGGGCCTTGGCATAGGAAGTGGAGGTGTTTTTCTTGCTGATGACTTGGTAGCTGTGTGTGCAGAATGAAGGATCGGGATTTCTGCAGCCTGGGGCTTGGTATGCAGGGTGAGGAGCCTCTCTCTGGTGTGTGCTTCCAGCTCGCAGAGCTGGGGAGCTGTCCATGCTGCTGCCTTTTAGGAACTGGGCTGCCTTCTGGCTTTTACTTTTTGTGACAAAACAGCACCTGGCTATCCTCCTCAAGCAGGTTTGAGTTTTTCGTTCCCTCTGAGGGTCAGCAGGCAGGACACTGGTGTGGGAGACACACTGTGATTTTCAGTCTTGCAGCAGTTCTGCAGTTGCACTGGGTTATTTTCCTGTGATTTTCTTTTTTTCACAAAATGGTCAAATGATATTTTGGTGGCAAGTCCTTGGGAGAAAAACTGATAGAACCAGGTATTAAGAGAAGATGTACATTAGGAAAGTGATCTCTGAGTGTCTGAGGGAAAATGCCAGAGGATTCCAAGGTGGTGCTCAGTCATGGCTGATACCAGGCTGTCCTCTCGGCTTATAATGGAGATGGAAAATTATAGGGTGTCATCGGTCAGTGTCGTGCACGCTTTGCTGCCCTGACACCCTGTATTCTGAGGCTGCTTCATCAAACTCAGTGCCACGAGCCATGAGCTGATGTGAGGCTCTCAGCCCGGTGTCTCCTTGGCCTGGTCTTGTGTCCGAGTGCAAGGCTGGGTCTACAAGTGTCCCAAAGGCAACTGTTAAATCCCACAGTTTTCTGGCTGCATGGGCTTAGTGGAATGAGCCTCATTTATACCCATTCCTCCGTTCAGCCCTAGTGAATTTTAACAAATCTCTCACTGTCCCCACAGTTGGAAAGAATATTAGGTTGTTTTGAATGTTTTGCTAATATAAACAGCGTGCTAACAGATGCTGCTGCAGCTAAGCCTTTGGACAGCTTTTGGATACATATAGAGAAGTCAGGGTCATGGGTGAAAAAGTACTCTTTGGAGGGTTTGGTTCATATTTCCCAGTGCTCCCTGCAAAGCTGCACTTTCCAGTTGACATTTCCATGAGTTTCTGCTCATACGTTTCCTTAACGCAAATCTACAGCGATGGAGGTAAGTTTATTTAAACTTTATTTTTTGGAGGTATAATGCATTTCCTAGACTTACGATTACAGTGATGGTGGGCGTCATTTTCTAATTCCTCATATTAAGTTGTTTTGCTATTGGATTTAAGAATTTTTATTATATTGAAATCATATTTATGTTCCTGTGTTTAGGCTTTTTATCATGAATGTCTGTTTAATTAAATGTCTTTTCAACATTTATTGAAAATCCCCTTTTTTCCTTTTTAAATTGGTGTTCTGAAAAATGTTTACTGATTCCTTGCCTGGTTCTGGAGGTACATGGTCTGACTCTATTCCTAGTAAGTGTATAGAATTTTGTTTTTGTATTTGTAGGTGAGGTTATAGTTCTATAAATGCTGTTTTTAATTACTTTTTATAATTACAATTATACTGGCTAGAGTGCCATACATCTTCTCTCCTGTGGTCTGTGAAAGTTCCAACAAGCAATTATCTATATTTTGAAGTCCCAATAAAACTCAGATGTACATTTTTAATGGTAGATCTTTAATCTTAAAAATAGCTTCTATGGTTATTTTTCTATTTCAACTTTTCCTTTTTTATTTTGTAAGCATGCAATTTCTTCTAGGTTTTAGAATTTTCCACCCCAGAGTTGCGAGCTTGTATTTATTTTTAACTATTTTATTCTCGTATATCTGCAGTAATATTCCTTGTGTCATTCCTCATTTTGTCTATTTGTATTCTTTGTTCTTTATTAGGGTTGAGAGGGACTATTCTGTTATCTATTAATGTGAATTCTCATTCTTTCTTAACATCTTGCTGTTTTTCTAATTTCTTAACCCAGATGCTTCCTTTGAAAGCTTTCTTTGCAAATATTCCTTGCATACACATTTATCAGCATTCCTACAGGTTTTGATGTGAAATAGTCTCTTATGTCACTTGTCTCTTTGATAGGTTTAATCTAAGTCCATTTTAAACCAAGTTGTTTCCCATGTACTCACTCTTGGCTTATGTATTTAGCTATGTTGTTTGACACATCAGCTGTTCATATTATATAGTATCTCCCCTGCTTTTCAGAGCTTTTAATGTCAAAGACCACTTTGTCTATTCATGTTCCCTCTCCTGCACATCTTTTTATTATCACTGTTTGATTGTGGCTCTTATAAAAAGTTATATTCTTTCTTTTTGAAAGCCCAGTCTGATCATCTCTACTTTTCATAATTTAGTTTGTCCTATTTAGGGTAATGAGATATTCATTCCTTAACATCCTCTATATCTTCTCTTATTCCAGTAAAGAGATATTTTTGAGTATTTTTTACTTTCTCCTTTTAACCTCCATTTCTTACTTTTACTTGTATTAAAATATTGTGTCATCTTTTATACCCTGACATCGGAATTTCTTGCCAGTCTCTCCTAAATCAAATGCCTCATTTATCATGTGTACATGGAGTCTCTTGTCATCCCTCTTTTAAATCTTCCTATTTCAGTCCGAGAACACTTGTTTCTCCATGCTTTTGCCATCTGTTTTTGTACTTGGGATCCAACTCAGGACCTTGCGCTTGCGAGGCAGGCGCGGTGTCACTGAGCTAAATCCCCAGCTCTCTCCCCATTGCAGTGTCTCTGATCTTGTCCATCTGATGTGGTCTCGTGTCTTTCCTCGGTGGGGTGTGAGTGGCACAGTTTCTGGGTTCTCATGTACTCTTCTTTTTTCTGACTGGACATGGAGATGATACCTTAGCTGGGGAGGACTCACGCACTTCAGGCCTCTCATCCTCATGAACATGGGGTTTCATGGTCTTCTAGCTCTTGTTGCAGGTGAGTTCAGTGCCGACCTGATTGTTTTGTCTTTCATAGGTAATTTGTTCTTTCTGCCCTGAAAGATCTGGCCAGACAACATTTATGCTTTATTTTTGAAGTTGTAGAATTTTACTAAAAAGGACACAGCAATGTAGACTAGAACCTGAAGATGTTGTTGGTCTCCATGCTTGTTTCTTCAGTTCAGAACTTTTCTTCCAAATTTAATGTTGGATTCCATTTCTCTGTGACACTCTCTTTCTCCTAAACTTCTATTGTTCCTGTGTCACAGTTTAGCCTTTTCAGATGATTTTTTTTGTTCTTTCTTCCAGGCTACTTTTTGGGGGGTATGGTTCAGTAGAAACCATGCAGTCTCTAACTCACCTACTGCAGTTTTAACATTTTTGTTCACTTTTAGTTGAACCACAAAACAAAACAACAAAACCTTTTCTTTGGTGGACCTTTTCGTTGCATTTCCTTTAAGTGCTTTCTTAGCACTTCTGATTGGTCTCTCTGGCAGCAGCTGTACCTCTGGACATACTCTGTTTGGAATGACCTCTGTTGTGGCTCTTAGACCCTCTGACGAGTTATTATTGGGACCCAGGACTGGTTGGTGGCCCCTTTGGGTGACTAGCTCAGCTGACAGAGGTGAAGTAGTCTTTTCCCTAGTCCAGTAGGAGGTAGGCAGGTGGTCAGTGCCTGGGAGGGAGCTGTTTCTGACCCTGGCCCTCCTGGCTTTGGAAACAGGGCACAGTTATCTCCATCTGCAGTTCTTCTCAAGTGGGTTTCTGAGAGAGAATTACACTCTGTTGGCTCATCATCCATTGTATGTAATGGGTGAATTCTTCTCCTGAACATGTAGAATTCTCTTTGAGAGAGTCAAGCAAACAGGCATTCAAATCACTTTTTCCAGGACTCATTCCTCTAGTGGACTCCTAGTGAGAAAGGCTGGGCCAGGCACACACAGGACTGTGTTGCCCTTCCCTGGCTGGTACAGGGAGGAGTCTGCAGATCTCTTCAGCCTAGCCTCTTCCTGGGGGCAGAAAGTAAAAGGCAAGGGCCTGAGTGTGTGGGCTGCACAGCCACGCTGCTTATCTTTTCCATACAATGGCACATTGTGAAAACCTAGTACTTTTGCTTATGGACATAATCGCTATGGCTGCTTCTCCCCTTTCATTAGGCAGCGCTACCATCTGAATAAGTTTGTCCCAAAACCCACACTGAGGAGGCTCAGTCCAGTTCCTATGTTGTGGTATTGAGGGGCAGGGAGACCTTTCTGAGGTGATCAGGTCATAAGCACGCCACCCTCTTGGAGGCTCTGGTGGCAATGGTTCGTTATCGCAAGAGCAGGTTGTGATATAGGGGACCTGGCGCTTCTCAGTCTCTGAAACACGGGCTTTTTCTGTGTGCGCCCCCGTCCCCACATCTCTACTATGGAGAAGGTGCAGCAGGTGGTCTTCACCAGAAGCTGACCAGATGTAGCTGCCTGATTTCGGATATAACCACGAGCCACAATAAATGTCTTTCTTCTATAAATTACCCAGCCTTGGGAATTTTGGTATAGCAACAGAAAATCAAAGCCAGCTTCTATGACTTGCTATTTTCCAACCTGCCCAGCCCAAGGGGAAGAAAGCTGTGTTCCCCTTCTTGCTACCTGGACCCCAGGGCCTCATCTTACTTGGTTCCAGGAGTTACTGGCTCAAGAGAGGCAGGTATCGTAGGTCGGGGTTGTCTTGGATTCTGAATCTCTAATCATCAGTATTGCTGTCTTTAAGTAGGCCTGGCTGAGGATACTTTAATTGCCTGACGGGGCAATTCCCTGCGGCCATTTCCTACCTTCTTCTTGAGCCTTTATGAAAATATTTTAGGTAACTGAATAGTCACCCAGGGAAGCCAGAGACATTTATTTTACAGAGTCCTCCTCCTATAGGGTAAGTGTAGCTCCGTGTGCTTAACATACCTGCAGGCTTGGCTGGGACCTGTGCACCTCCCCCCAGCTCAGGACCCACACCTGGTCATGCGACTTGTCATAGGACAGCTTGGCTGGCAGAGGGTCCACACCTATGGACTTGAAAAAAAGATGGCGAGAAGTTGGTCATCTTGGTGGTGGAAGCTGATGTGACGGTCATTTCCGTTCTCTGTGTCTACGGACATCATTTGCGGGGAGTGGACAGCTGGCTCCTCAGGGATCCCTGCGTGGAAACCCAGGACAGAAGCCTCCCCTCTGCAGGCATTGTCTTCAGAGGCATACAGATGATGGATAATGTCCTCTCTCTCTCTCTCTCTCTCTCTCTCTCTAAAATGTCCTCTCTTAAGGACTTAATTTCTTTCATATTTTACTTGAAGGCACCCAGACCAACTCGGCCAAAGCCTGAACACAGAGGTTTTAAACTTACCACTCAGAAACCAGCTCCAGGGCTCCCCTCCTCCCTCCCCCTGGAAGCTCTGTGGCCCTTCACATGCTCTGCACCCTTCCCTAGCTGCTCTGTGTCTGATTTGTGAGGTGGACTCTTGTGTTCACCCATTGTCACCCCTTTCTGATCTGCGTTCGACTCTGAGTAGCTTTTTCTAGTACCTCGTTCAGCTAAAGCCTCTGGGATTCTGATAGTAGCTGACCCTCTTTCATCACAGAATCTGAAATCCTGCTGTCTGAGGAAACCATGGTCTTCTCTAGGTCCCTGTAATATGATGAAAGCTTTTTTTTTTTCCTAGTTCCGGGGATCAAACTCAGGACCTTGCACTTATGAGGCAGGCACCATGCCACCGTGCTAAATCCCCAGCCCTTGTTTTTCACTTCTTAACAGTGTAGTTATATATAAGTTCAAAAACTTTATTCCATAGTTCTCATGTCACTAGACTGTGAGTCCTAGGTCTTTTTCTTACCACTCATTGGCCAACATCCTAGTTACCCGCTTTGTTCACTACATATGCTGACCCAAGATTCACTGTCATCTTTTCTGCTACTTTCTCGGTCACCAAGTTTGGTGACTTCAAATCCATCCACACGGCTGTTTTGTCCAACACCTGCTTTCTCAGTTCCTTCTTGGTTTCAGTGGGCTTTTCCTCTGCCTGTCCTCAGTCACCATAACCTGTACCTTGTCAACACAATTTCTGAAATTTCAATTTCAACCAACTATATTGAAGCCTTTCTGGTTGGGTGCAAAAAATGAACCATCTTTGCACACACTGGTCAGAACTCCTCTCAAGATGCATCTCACAGCCCCTGCTTTTACATCCCCTTACTGCATATCCACCAAATTTCCATCTTTCCCCCTCTATCGAAGTGCTCTAGACCTCCAGGCCAGGTTCTGAGATCACACTGTGATCCTTCAACAGGATTTCATCTGGCTCACGATTTCATTTTAGAAACATTTTCTTCCTTTGACTTCCCTTCTTCCGGCTTCCGTACTTCCGCCTGACCTCCCAGTGTTGAGATCTCCGACCCGATTCTTCCCTTCTACCCACTTCTTCCAGTACTGGCTTCCAGTAACCCTCTGCACTCTGGTGACTGTGGGTGCTTTCATCTGTGGATGGCCTCAAGGGAGGTTACACAGAGCGGAGCTTCTCCCGACTGCTGAAATATGTTCAGTCTCCTCTCATCACCCGCTCCAAAGAGTCCCTTTACTTCCCTACTCTAATTAGGTGCTCCTGTGCCCTACAGCCTCAAGGACAGACCATTTTTGTTTTTCTAGACTCTTCCTACTCCGAGCCCCAGCACCCCCCAGGGAGCCCAATTTATTCTATTTCCAGCCAGTTACCAGGCTACTTCCCTTCATTTGCCAAAGGCTTTGGCACCTCACATGGTCTTTTTCGTCCCAGCGCTTCTTAACCCACCATGATGATGTCACCTGGACATTTTCTCTTTCAACACAGGATCTTGCTATGTAGTTCAGGCTGGCTTTGAACTCACAGTGGTTCTCCTGCCTGGAGTGCTAGGATTATAGGCATCACCACCATACCTGGCTCTTGTTCTCTTAAAAAAGAAAAAAGCCCTTCGTGACTCCACGTTCTTTTTCAGCTGCTCTATTTTTCTGCTCCCTTCGTAGCACACCTTCCCTGCAGTCTGGACAGGAGCTGTTGTTTCTCCTTTCTGCTTAGCCTTCCCCACTAAGATTCATATTCCTGTTCTGAGGAGGGGCAGAGGAGAAGGGCGGACAGCTAACCCTGAAATCTCTTAAGTTCAGAAGAGAATTTTCCATAGTTTCAAAATTCTGAGTTGTGATGGCCTGGCAGGGAAGAGGTCCTGGTGAAAATAGCAGACTCTCAGTTAAAAGCCTCAAAATTAGGGCTGAAGCAGAGGCAGTCTGAACTTTGTAGAAGCACCACTCAGCCTAGCACTGGAAAGGGCAAACCCTTTCTGTTGAATGACAGTCATTTAAAAATCTCTACAATTTTTCAGATAAAATATGTGGATTAAAAAATACCACCAGGCTGAGAGACAGAGGATATGATGTGAAACAACATTAAAAGACTGACAGGTGATCCACAAAAAGACAATTAAGAATTTATATATAAATAGAAAATTATGTTGAAATTTAAAAAATGAAAAATGAAATGCCTGAAATATCTCAATAAATAGGCCTTGTTAAATCCGTATTAGACACAGCAGAAAACAGGTTGATAGGACGTACCAAAGGGAAGCAGGAGACATGTGGGACGCAATGGATAGATCTAATTAAAAAAAAAAATAACAGAGTCCCTCCACAAGGACAAAAGCGGGAGGAGAGGAGAGGGAGAAGGGGTGTAGGGAGCAGCGGGGAGAGGGAGAGGGAGGGAAGGGGAGGAGGGACAGAGCAGAATATTTGGAAAATTGCTGAGATTTCCCCAATCTGATGAAAAATATCAATCCACACATTCAAGAACCTCTGCAAACCCTAAATCAGAATAAATGCAAAGAACACCATACCCAAGCACTTTATAAACTGCTAGAGACGAAAGAAACACATCATCTTCAAGAGAATACCAGTAAGCCTGAAAACTGGCCTATCATCAGAAACAGTGGGAGATACAGGATGACATCCTCAAATGCTGAAAAAAAAAATCTAGAATTGTTTACCCGGTAAAAATAATCTTCAGAAATAAAGAGACAGTTTCAAAGAAGCAAAAACGGAGATTCTGTTGTCAGCAGACCTATACTAAAAGAATTATTAAAAAATGATCCTATGTACTTCAGGAGAAAAGAGCATTAGAAGGTAAGTGTATGGGTAAATACTAGCGACTGCCTGTTCAAATAATATGTCCTGGCCAGGCAGGGTGGTACATAGCTATAATCCCAGCACTCAGGAGGCTGAGGCAGGAGGATTGCCATGAGTCTGAGGCCAGCCTGGGCTACATAGGGAATTCAGGGCCAGTTTAAGCTACATAGCGAGAGACTGTCTAAAAAAACAACAAAACAATATCTTGTGGAGTTATCATAATAGTGCAAAAGACATAGGAGGGTAGAGGGCTCAGAGTACTCCAGAATTACTGCAGAAATGAAATTACAATTTTTATATGTTGGCATTGGTGCAGGGGTGCGTGATGTATCCCTCTGGTGTTAATAACAATGTGGAAGAGTGAATCTCACAGGCTAATCGACAGGAAAAATGATTAAAATGTTTGGCAAATTCGAAAAAGAAAAAAAGCAAAAGGAGAAAAAGGCAATAGAAACATGTAGTGCCAATAAAAAGACAGTAGATATAACCCAACTATATAATTACATGAAGTATAAATGGATCAAATACTCTTAAGTACAAGACTGAGATGAATTAACTAGAGAACATCCCCAAATCTACCATATATTGCTTTATGGAAGAATACTTTAAGGACATGGAAAGGTTGAAAGTGCAAGGATGGAAAAATGATGATAGAAGAATACTAATCATAATAAACCTGGTGTAGCTCTACTAGTCTTAGGCAAAAGCAGGCTTTCTGGAAGTAAGAACCAAGATAAAATCACATAAAGGTACAAGATCCCTATGTTGAATACAACTGCATCGTATACCTAAAATGAACAAATGTTGTTTAATGAAAACAACAAGAACAACAAAAACAGGCTTTCAGGTAAGCAGTATGAAGTGGAGATAAAGATATGTTCTTAATATGAGTCTTTCCACCCCAAAAGATACTACAGTTTTAGAGCAGAAATGGACAGAACTTTGAGAAACAGATAAATCTCCCATACCAGTGGGAAATTTTAACGTACTCCTTAGTGGCTGACAGAGTAAGAAGACACAAAGTTGTGAATGACCCGGAGTCAGAATGCACAGCTGATTACGCAGGGCGCCACACCTATCAGAACACACACCCCTTAGAGCACCCGCGGGACATTTACCAAAATTGATTGTGAACTCAGTTGTAAAACAAGCTTCAATAAACTCCCGGGACTGAAATTACTCAGAGTGTGTTCTCTGGTGGGGAGAACCAATTGCAGAAAGATAGGCAGAAAAAGCTCCTGTTGTATTTGCCAAGAGAAACCGTGACCTGCTGACGCCCGACCTTCTGTGCACGGGGAGTTTGTGCTGGGTCACTGAGCGCAGGCAGGGAGAGAGGCAGCTCTGCACACTGCTCTCACTTTAAATTCACACCCAGTCCTTCCGGGGCCTCTGTGCTGCCCAGCGTTCCTGGCCCCTGCACCCAGCCCATTCAGTCCCACACTGAACTTCTGCCTCTCCTCAAGTCTTCAGCCTTGGTGGTGATTTCCTTCTTATTTCACTGAGAAAATAAAGGCAATGAGATCAAAGTCGGTCTGAGCACCCCCTCCCCTATCACCCTGCACAGAAGACTCTCCATTTCCTCCTGTGCTAGTGCAAGGGGGCTGTTTCAGGAGAGGCTGGCATCTCCGGGGCCTTCGGTTCCATGGAACCTGCCTACCTGCGCGATGCAGGGGAAAGGAGACTGCTGGGGTTGTTAGCTACTCTCAGACCATTCCTTGGGCTCTTGCTTTCAGCTTCTTCCTCATTCATCTACTTCTGTTTACCTGGGCAACAAAAACAAACCCTCTCCATACTGCTGCCTGTGTCCCCCATCTCCACGTCCCTTCCTGGCTTTCTAACTTGAATCCCCTCCAGCAGGTTGACGTTCACCACGGTCATCCTTCTGTCCCTGCCAAGGTGATCGACAGTTCTGTGGTACCAAGACCAGCAGCAGCTCTGTCTTCAAACCCTACCTCTCCTCTGAAGCACCCTTCAGCCTTAGGAGCTCCCCTAATTTTCTTCCTGCCTTTCAGGCCACTCTTCCTCAGACTCCTTTGTTGGTGTCCTCCCTCCTTCCTGATCCTTGAATGTTGAAGTGATCCAGGTCTCTCACCTTTGCCTCTTCTCTGTCACCTTGGTGATTTCATCCAACGTCACCCAATTAGCATCTCTACCCTGGACCTCTCTTTAGATTTCAGACCTGTTTGTTGTTCTGCTTTCTTGGTCTTATTTATATATGTAACAGCATCAAGCTAAATTTCTCCCCAGTCTGATCTTTGCTTTGTCCCTTGCCTGCCCAAAGTCTCTTTTACCGTATTTCATTTGTGTCATGTTGCTGCAGGGACAAATTACCTCGGATCTGGGGGCTCAGAACACCACAGATCTATTCTCTTACACTTCTGGAGACCAGAAAGTCAAAATCGGTTTCACTAGTATAAAGCAGTGTGCCAGCAGGGCCACACTCCTCCGGGGCTCCCAGGGAGGTGCATTTCTTGGCTTTTTCCAGCCTCTGTGGCTCCATCCCTTGCCTGAGGCCCCTCCTCCAGTGCACGGGCCTTCTCGCTTGAGTTCACGTGGACTCCTCCGCTCCCCCCACGCGGGGGCACCCAGATCATCTGGGTTAATCGTCTGGTCGGAAATCCTCAGTCACACCTGCGATGTCCCTTTTACTATATAAATGGACATTCACAGGCCCCAGGGATTGGAATAGGGACATCATGGGGGCCACTGTTCAGACTGCCACACATGGTAAAGAGCGCCATCCTTCTCTGCTCAAGTCAGCAAACACCTTGATAACTTTCAAACCTTACATGTCAGGAAATCTTTTAGGTTCTGTTTAAAATACATTGAGAGTCTGATCATTTCTCAACCCTTCTGCTGCCACCACCCTGTCTTGTTGGAATAGCCCCACCAGACCCTAACCCTAACCTCATCTTCTGATGAGGGCCCTGCAGTGGCTTCTAGCTCACCCTGGGCTTTTACTCCAGGGCCTAACTGGCCTCCCAGGCCCTCTGTGAACTCGCCTTGCTTGGCCCTGCCCTCGTCCTCACACTCTGCTCCTATTCAGACCTAGTGCTCTGTCCACCTCCGGGAGGGGCCGGTGCAAAGTGGTCTGTGGTTCCTCTGTCCCATTTCATCTGCTTTCACATCCCTCATACTTACAGTTCCCCAACATCTGGATTTATGCTCTGGGTTCTCAATGAGAATCGAAGCTCTGGGGACTGCTGTGCTCATTTGTGGCTATTTCTAGAGTACCCGGAACAGCACACAAACCCTCTCCACTCGGAGAATAGCCAAAAAATGCTCGATGAATAAGCACACAGGACTCTCGGGCCCTGCAAGCGTACCATCGCTTGCAGAAGCTGGGGAAGTGTGGGAAGCAAAGGCGAATGCACCCAGCTGAGCCCCAGAATCTGGAGTCTTTTTCCCTCCTTTCCCGATGTGTACCTGTAGGACTTCCTGGGCTTGAACATCGACCACAAGGATTCTGCTTAGCGCCGGCTGGGCCACGTAGATGTACCGGTTCCTGACGTTGACTGCAGACGCCCACTGGCACCGCTGGGTGGCATCTCCTTCTTGGGGACAGATTTCTTCCTGTCAGGGGAGAGATGGCGTGAGTGTTCTTCCTTCCTCTCCGACCCTCCGCGGGCCCCTCTTGCCTCTTCCTCGGGACAGACAGTGTTGCGCACAAGCCTTCCTGTGTCACCGACCTCTTCTCCCACCTCCTCGGTGACCTGGCTCCAGCCACACTGCTGCCCACAGCTGCCACACTCTGCACCCCGTTCCGTGTCCAGCCTTCCCACCTGGGCCAGCCTCCGCAGGATCGCAGTAAACCGGAGGCCCCATCGAGTGCGCCCTCAGCTTCTCCCACCCTGGCCTTCTTGCTCAGCATAGAACCCCAGTGTTTCCTGAAACCCGCAGGGCCATGTACAGTTTGGTCCCTCTCGACCTCAGTCCCCACAGGGGGACGCTTGCGGTGCCTCCTTCCCCCGCCAGGCCCAGCAGTGGCCGTCCTCTTGGCCAGGGACGCTCTTCTCCTCATTCCTACCCGCTTTCATTTCTTTCTTTCAGTTCTCCACTCAGAGGTCACCTTACGGAGAGGCTGTCTCTGACAACAGCTAGTTCAGCCGCCCCAGCGTTCCTCACTCTCACTTCTGTGGTTCTCACCTGACACTTGATTTTATCCATTTATTTGTCCACCTACGCATAGCCTGCCTCCATTAGGCCGCAGGTCCTGTTTGCAGGAGCCCAGGGAAAACCCTCTGAAACCAGGTGGGAAATGAAACACAAAGAGGCCTGGGGTGGGAAGCTTTTTCTGGATCTACCGCGAGCAATCATTTCTCCTGTCTCTCTTCCTTCCACTGTCACTCTGTACTTGGCCTCCTGTTTGGTTTGCAGCACCTCTGTCACGGCGTGCATATGAGCTCCTGCTCTCTCCCTACGAGAGAGCACCTGTCTGGCAGCTGTCTGTCCACAGTGCTGTCTCCATCCTACGGCTCTGAACTTCTGGAAGCAGAAACCTACGTGAGTCCCTGGCCTCGCCTGGAGCTCGGTGCGCAGCAAAGGCTGCGGGATGGAGAGAGGACAGGTGGATCGCTTAGCCTAGGACCACGGAACCACACCACACACAGCTGGCGGAATTTAAGACCCGCATCTCCCCACTGCAGATACTCACGTAGCTGGTGAAGATCTTCTCTGTGGGTTTGAGGTGCCTCTGGATCTCACAGTGCACAGGGTGGACGACCACAATGCCGTCATCGGAGAAGACGTAGAACATGTTTCCCACACTGAGGCCTGGGAGGGGCAAACACAGCATGGTCTGGCCCCCAGAACAGTGGCCCCAGGTGGGTCACATGCAACACAGAGGACACAAGACACAGGCAGGCGCAAAATGCAGTTCTGGCAGAAGCGGGTGGGATGAGCGGCTGGCTGGTGGTGGGGAGAAAGGGCCGCTCAATAAGCCCAGCTGCAGCTCTGTGGTACCCACACTGTCCTGAACACACACCGTTGCCCTGTATGGTGTCATCCGGCATTGGCCACCAGTACAAGTTCACAGGTAACCATGGCCTTGGCTTGGGCGTTTGATTGACCTGTCCTGTTCTGAAATGGAAAACGTCCCTTGGTTGGTCGGCATAGTTTAGACAGCAGAATGGATTAGATGGTGCCAAAAAAGCAAAGGCTTTTGTTTGTAAAACATTTATACACAGTGTTGCCCCTTGCAAGTGGGGTACATGGTACTCTTTCCTCCACAGTCAGCCCTGGCCCGTCGGCTCCTCTGTCCAGACACAGTGGCAGCGTGGGTTGGCGGAACAGCACATACCCTGGCCTTGCCGATGTCTCTGCCCAGGGGAGACGGCCCAGCCGATGACTTTAAAGATGAAGAGACTGAAGACTGAGGAGGGGAAGGGTGTGGCTGGGCCACTGGCCTCTGGGATTCGACCCTGAACCCAAGTTCTCCCCTCTGTCCACTCTGTCTCTGCCTAAGGGCAGATGTGGCGAAGAGAGATGTATGATCTAGCATTCCCCATGCCCGCCCCACCTCTCCTGCTCCATTTCTCCTCCTCCTCCCATTCCTTCTAATGCTAGAAAACTGGGATTTGTATAAATTCTAAGAAAAGTGTGTAAGGACTCTTTCCCAGCATGCTGAGAAAGCTGGAGTCATAGTATAATGGACTGTCTGCATAAGCTTTTAGTGAATTAGAAGGCAGTGAAACTGGGAAATATGAATCACCATCTCGCTTCCTTCCAAATCCCACAGCAGTTGCCCTGGCCTCAGGCCCTGGTGACCAGGCAGTGCCTATGTGCATGGCATGGTCTTGGCGTGGCCCGTGGCCCCTGACAGTGATGAGAGCCTGTGCCGAGAGGGGCAGGATGGCTCCCATGGAGCGCAGTGCTGTGCTCACAGTCAGGGCTGCAATATGAGGCTCTGCAGAAGCACATCCAACACATAACCGGCTCCCAGGAGGGAGGGCACAAGCGTCTAGCGCCCAGGCATGATAGGGTTTGTTTGCTGTGGCACTGCTCTAGTGCTAACCTTTCGCCCTGCCGTAGCTGTGGGCCTGACATGGGCACTAAGTTTCTACAGCTCATTTCATACCTCTCAGGGCCTCCTGCATCCTTCCCAGCTCTCTGCGTTTGAAGCTTGAGGCCCTTTGCAGCAAGCTGTCTTAACAGGACACCACCTCTGAGTGGTGTGCATCGTGCCCAGTGGCGAGGCTCAGGCAGCAAAGAGAAGGACGGGGGTGGGTCACAGCCGGCAAGGCTGTGGCAGCAATTTTGCAGTTCCGGTTCTGCCCGTTTGCACTCAGACCTACAGCGTCAGCTTTGGTGCTGACTTCTGGGAAACCGTCTTGCGGCTGTGTTTGCTCGTACACAGCAGACAGCAGGGATGCCACGTGAAGGTCTTTTTGAGAAACAGAGAGGAAACACCCTGGCTCTTCAAGAGGGAGCTGCTGTACTTAACCCTGCAGTGTCGGATACGTCTCCTGCCTCTTGCTCCACTTCTGCCCACCCAGCTACAGACCAAGTCCCCCGAGGGCTGTCTGGACTCAGATCCGGTTCAGAGGTCACGGGACGGGGACGGGGACGGGGACGTGTACACGAGCACACGAGCAGCACCCAGTTCCGCCCCAGCTCCTGTGTCTTTGTGCTATTCTCAAACCACACGAAGTTGTCAATTTCGGACCACTTCTGGGGTACAAAGATGGCATTTACACACAGCTCAATCCAGTAGCTAAAGGTTTGTTTCATAAGATACGCTTTTGAAAATCTATACATTGAAAAAATGCATATTTGCACGCTCATTGGTTTTTTTTTCTGCAGCATTTTCTCAGTCAAAGCATAATTAAGTCACAGCTATTGTAGATGCCAGGCGGGCTGTACAACTTTTTTGGGGGGTAGGATGTCTTTTAAATTTAATTTTATTCATTTATTTTCAGCAGAGCTGGGGATTGGACTCAGGGCGTCATGCATCCTAGGCAACTACTCTACACTAAACTATATCCCCAGCTCTTTGGTCTTTTACAAACAACATAAGATTAACAAAGCATGAAACCCATCACTAATACCAGCTACTGGGAGAAGCACGAGGCTCAGACCCAAGTGGGAACTTTTGCCAAGTGGTCTGCCATGCCAAGGTTACAAGTGGCTTTTGATAGAAACTTTCCATTTAAAATATTGCCATTAAATATACCAGTAGGTTTTTAATTTGATGTTTGCACCATTTGAGTTGGACTGGCTGCCCCTCTCCCATCAGTTTGGCCTGTGGGCCCTCCTGGCGCCCTGCTTAGCGTCCACAAAGCTGACAGCGGCTCGCGGAGATGCGGCCTTTCATGGAACCACACACACGGTCACAGGCATGACACAGAACAATCAAGTTCGGTACCTTCCTCTCGCCAAAGAATGTTTGCCACTGTACCCCAGAGAGTTAGGACAGCAGGGACGTGATTGCCAGCAGGGAAGAAAGAAAGCAAGATCAGACGTGACTGTAGCGCTTGACTCGGGAACATACTGGTGCCCGCCCGACACGTACAGAATCTTCATCCTCCAAACGTTTCCAGGTCTCGGGACCCTTTTGACTCCTAAATGAGTCTTTGAAATTAGGACCCAGGATCACAACAGCTAATGAGATTCCCATATTCTGTAAATGATAAGGAGTGAAAGCATTTCTCCCAGATTTCCTGGTTCCAGGAGAACGGATTTCCACTAGGATTCTCCTAGGAGGAACAAGTGAAACACTTCTGATGATCGACTTTGACTGAGGGAAAGAGACCGTGACCAGCACCCACACTCACGAATTCTCACTTGCAGGTGTGGAGCGAAGGGGGCAGTGGCCAGAGGGATAGCACACTTAGCACGCCAGATGGGTGACAGTCCCTGGGATAACGGCCACCACGCTCCAGTGCTGCGCGTGTCCTGCAGTCCCTCCTTATCCGTGAGGGAGACGTTCTAAGGATCCCTGAAAGTGGACTGTCCCGAACCCTAAATAGTCTATTTCTTCCTACACCTGTATATTATCTTATAAATTAGGCACAGTAAAACTATAATAATAAAATATGACAATTATAACCACATACTGCAATAAAAGCTATTTAAGACTTACGAATTTTCTATTTCTGGAATTTTGAATACTTTCAGACCGTGGGAAGCGAAGCTGCAGATACAGGAAGACTACCATAGGCACGGGCTAGCTCTGGGTCACTGTGGATTGCAGCACCTGGTGGGTGGACATCTGAGGGATTTCGTGACCAGAGGCAGAGATTCTGGTCACACAGCACTAGGAGACAGAGGCGGGGCTGGGACACTGGATCCCCCTTCCTTCAGAGACTTCTGTGTCTCCATAGCTGACTCGATTGCCAGGTGGGGATCTGTACACTTGGGGAGCCCCTGTGCCCAGCTGTATGCACAGAGAATAGGAGTTTACTAGGGCCTTCAGGGCTCATGGTTGGAGGCTGTGGCCCTGGTCATGGGTGGTCTTTTTTGTTTGTTTTTCGTAGCCTCTCTTGCCACCTGACACCCTCAACTGGCTCGGCCAGGAGCTCCGAGGCCAGAGTGAACTCACGGGTCTTCCTGGCCGAGTCCTCAATGAAGAGGGAGGAGATGTCTTCGTCCACGCCCACTTCATTCTTGGCGATGCAGGTGTACGCGCCTGTGTCTTCATACCGAACACTGTCAATGTGGAGCTCGCTCCCATTGGCTGCAGAAAGAACAGTGCTCAGCATGGCCCACTCAGCCAGCAGAGCCCTGGGCAGGACAAGGGGCAACCAGTGTCCCTCATAAGGTGCCCAGGAAAGAACAGCACAGCTGCAAGTACCCAGGGTGACCTGCAGACTGACTGACAGCTTCTCATTATGGCCCTTGAAAGTCCCCGCAAACTGTATAAGCCCAGGAATCGGGGAATGTGGGGGAGACATCTGTTGCCTCCTCACATGCTGGGCACAGAAGAAGTCCTGCCTCTCATTTCCATGCCTGGGGTGAGGACCCCTGGGGCCACATGGGGATAGCCCAGAGCCTCATGGGTAGTTCTTACCCAAGAGGGACAGCTGTTTGGACATCTGGGCCGAGACATCCATGCCGTTTTTCAGCCAAGTGATTCTGGGCATGGGAATGCCCTCTGCGTGGCATCGCAGGCTGGCCGCCACCCCGGGCTCCTGTGCCTGGGTTTCTGGATAGACGCGGATGACTGGTGGCACTGTGGGTAGGAATCGGTGCAGGTTAGAGAAGGCCCTCGCCTGCCTTGCGCTCATGGCCCAGTCCTGACCCTGTCCCAGAGTGAGCCCAGTAGGTGGCTCTGGAGTTTGCTTCTTCACCAGTTTACAATGATCCTCTTTGGCAGCCCAAGGTCTGAAAGAAAGGGCTGTGAAATGGATTTCAGGCAGTAAACACGTCAGGCATTGTACCCCGTAATTCATGGCTTCCATCATTATTCTAAATATGATCAGAAAGACATCTAAATAAATATTTAATGCCATTCAGCTGCTACATGTAAAGAGCAATGGTCCCTGGGATTTATTTCTGAATGAAGTCAGATATATTATTTCTGTTATCGAAAAACCATTGGACAGGAGCTTAATTTCTTGTAGGAAATGCTTTGCAAAGCAGTTATGGGCACTGACGGGCTGGGTGACTGATTACATCACCACGCTGTGAAGGCCATTGATTTTCCAGCGGGTCATTTTTACTTCACTTCCCAAATCCTGGATCCCAGGTGAAAGGCCAGGTGTGCCCTCTTTGGCTGGGGAGTGACCTGGCCCAGGGTCACAGCAGTTAAGCAGGGGCTGAGGGCGTGACCTGACCCACAGGCCAGACGGGCTTGGGCGGGTGTGGCTCTGGTGCCTGCCACGTTGCTTGGGTCCTTCTCACACAGACTGGCTGTGGGGAGATACTGGTAACGACGGTCTGGAGGACCCTTCTTCCTGGTCTGAACTCTGGGCCCAGGAAATAAACGCAACATCACTTTCAGCGGCAGTGCGGGTTCATATTTATCCATACATGTCACTTTGCGTGTTTCCAAAATGGGGGTTGTGGGAGTCTATGTAGAGCTACCTGCATATTAAACTAAACAAATGAGGATATGACAAACGTTTTGGAGATGGGAGATGTATTTTTCCTGAAGTAGGTGGCTATATTTCCCTAGGGGTACCTGGAAATTTCTGTTGTTCAGTATAAAAGGCAACCCAGGACTTTAGGAGAAAGGATTTTTCTTGGGATCAGAGCATCCAGAAAAATTATGCCTCTGTTGGAGGGCACAGTGGCAGATCAAGGTAGTGGAATTCCAGTGATGTGTGCTGGGATTAGCAGAGGAAGAGAAACTCCACTGCCTCAATGTGAGAAATGAATTGAGCTCCTGTCATCAAGTCAGCTTGAGTGTCAAGCCTTTCCTTGGCCAACTTTGGGGGAAAGTTGGGGAGCAAAGGTGAAATCCATATAGATGACAGGCAGAGGCCATGATCTTACCCTCAAATGGTCCAGAGCTGTGTCCACAATGGGAGCTCAGAGTGCATTATGGCCTACCTCACAGAGACCCGAGGTCAGGACTGTTGGGTCCTCTTCCCAGATTCTCCTTGTTAATTGTCACCTGGGGAGAGCCTAGGGTGCAGCGGAAGGGCCTCGTCCCAGAGCTGGCAAATGGGGATGGGGGAGGTACGCAGGGGCATGAGCACCAGCACGTCTGAGGGCTGCTCAGAACACAGATGTGTCTCCCTTCTCTCCCTCTTCGGTTCATAGAAAACAAAGAAACTTCCCTTCAGCTTCCACTGGGGAGAGGCAGGAATGGGGTCCAAATAGAATAGACAGAAGTTAGGCTGGGAAGTCACAGTACAGCAGAGAGGGGCTGTTGGGCGTGGCCAGGACTTGGCCATCAGGAGCTCAGGCTCCTGCTTGGTTGCCTCTACTTCTACAAGCTGCCCATAAACCCCAAGGTAAACCTGAGGAAAGCTGAGGAATCAATAGAGATGGAGGCAGAGCCAGATGAATCAATTAGAAAGCCAAGAAAGAAAAACTGATAAATAAATCTAAGAGCTAGCTGTTTATAAAAACCAATCAAATCACTAAGTCTGGTAAGTTTAAAAAATGAAAAGAAATAGAGAAAGAACACAGAGTGCATTAAAATGTGAGAGTACTGTACTCAGTTGTGGGTAATAAATGTGAAAATCTTAATGAAATGTATCATTTAAAAGGAAACTTAAAGTACCAATACTGAATTAAGGAGGGAATATTTTTAAAACTTTCATGCGGCGCTAACCCAAAAGGCATTCTCATTGGTTTTTTAGGAAATTTCCTTTGTATACTGAAGGATTGGATAACGTCTAGGGCATAGAATGGGGAAGACATTTCAAATTCCATCTAGAACCTGGACACCGAAGTCTAACAGAGAGAGACAGCGATGAGAGACAGAGGAGAGAGAGGTGGCGGCAGAGACCGGCACAAAACAGGTGCAGCTGCAGGCTTGGCGCTAGGCACACCACAACCCCAAGTACATTGTTAACAACTCAAATTCAGCATGGTATGGAAAAACACAGTGTGGCCGAATGCAATATGTTTCAATAGCTATTAGGAAATCTATAATCGATCATATCCAAAGTCACAGGCAGTCAAAAGAAAAACCATTTGATTTTCTTGCTAGACATTGAAAAGGCTTTTGAAAAATAATCCAGAATCCGTTTCTGGGGAGGGGGGCTCAATAAAATAGGAACAAAATGGTATTTTCCTCCTACAATGAAGTATATCTCTATAAAAAGAAAGAATAGTGCCATTCTTTTCAGAAGGAGGCAACATTAAGTCGGGAAAGAGAAAAAGGAGAAAAGAGAGGCAGTGTTAGACTCTGACATTATGTAGGGTGTTGTCAGTGGAAGGCGAAAGATGAGAGGCACAGATATTAAAAAGATAGAAAACATAGTATTTTATGTGGACATCCTTCAGGTAACAAACCAAACAAAAGTGGTAAGGATTAATTAGTTCAATAAAGAGGTTGGTACCAAAACATACAAAAGTAAAAACTTCCATATATATATATATGAGATGACCAGACAGAAAATAGAGTGGACCTAAGTGAAGAAAAATATAAAGCCTCCCTGATGTCATGAAAAGTGTGGAATAATTGGAGAGAGATGTTCTTGGATAAGAAGTCTTGCCAATGTTAAGAAACATCACGCACCACACTAAGCCACACACTTAATCTAATCCCATTTGCAGTCAGTTGGGTGGGTCTGACAGAACAATTCCGAGTTTATCTAGAAAGGAAAAAAGCTGTAGGAGCAAAAGAAGTACCACTGTTGAGGAAATCTGGAAAGTGGCGGTGATGATGGTCGCTTTGCTACATCAGACATTACCAAGCATTATGACCCCAAAGGGAGGTCAAGGGGCTCTCGTCTCAGGCCGGCGCCGTATTTGTGACCTTGGTGGGCTCTGCAAAGCGAGCAGTTCAGCACTGTGCAGCCAGTGCTTTGAAATGCCAGCCGGGTGTCAGCACAGCAGCGCCTGGACACCTCACTCCCTGTGCTGATGGGCCTGTCCGCTGAGGGGGGCGACGCGACACTCGAGTGCAGCCGTGAGACTCCCCGGAGGGAGCTCGGGAACCCTGGAAGACCAGGAGAGCAGGCTCCGATTCCCCACCTCACCCAGGGAAGCCTTTCATTCCAGTTGCCAGGGCTGCCTGTCTTTTTGTTGGCAAAGGGCTTGTCCAGGAAACTGGGAGCTCAGGAAATGGGCCTCGTGCCTCCATAAGTGGTTTGTGGACTGGCGCCGACCGGCCTTGGCCTTAGCACTGACCTTTGACAGGAAGGTCTCCTTGGGGTACCGACTCCTGGGGTCTCAGAAAAGTCCTCCCTCGTCTTCATCCCTGCATCAGGAGGACTAAAGAGAGGCCCCAACGTCTGCCCACTCCACCTCCCATGCTTTCTTCCTTCCTGGCCTCGTTGCACCTGACTGCACACACGAAGGTCCTTCTGCCCATGCCCTGTTCCCGGGCCGTGCCACTCTCCAGAAGGAGCCTCCTCTCCTGAACCTGCACTGTGCCTTCTGGACCTCGTGTTCTGTCCGTGGCAGCATCTCCTGTGGGAGTCCTTCATCGGCTCACTCCCGCGGAAGCCTGCTTTCTCCTGGTGCTGCTCTTTCTGCAGCCTTCTGGGTGGCGGCCCCTTTCTTTGGACGAGAAGGTGGGGTAGGCCCTCGTAATGATTAAATGCCCAGTTCTGAGTGCCAAGGCCTACCCACCTCATTCCTAGATTCCTCCCTTCCTGCCCTCTTCCTGGACTTGCCTCCAGCATCTGTCTTTTTCCTCAATTTCCTGATTTCTACTTGATCTTCCCTGTCACCCCCAAAATGCTTCTGTCTTCTATCTTGAAAAAGGAAGGTACTCCAGCTTCTTTCTCCAACTACACCCCATGTTTCTCCTTGCACACACCTTGAGAAGTTGTTTGGCCCTAACTCCTCTTTCCCTCTGCTCAAGCCAGGTCCAGTTACACTGTACCCCACCATTGTCCCAAACTGCTCTTCTTCAGGGGCCATGACTCCTACACTCTGGTCCTGCCCCGGGGCTGCTTCCCTGGCCTCATCCTCTCTGAGCAGCCTGCAGCACCAAATGGGGCTGAGCACACTTTTCTCAAAATACCAGCTCTCCTGACTGCTGGCCCTGGCCTCCCTAGTTTCCTGCTACTCCCATGCCTCCTTCCTTCCTAGTTTGCTTTGCTGGCTTTTTCTCCTCTCCAGGCAACATGGCAGTGTTGGAGTTCAGGGTCTGGACGTCCAACATGTGCATCACCCTTTGGGGATCCAACCTGGTCCACTGATTTTATATACTATGCACCCCCTACCGCATCTGATTTTACCGCCAGCTCAGCCCTCTCCTGAAACCCCAACTCAGAAACCCACCTGCTAGCACGACACCCCAGCGCGTCCCTTTGACGGACACCACATGCCTGTAACGTCCCAGGAGCTCCTGATCTTGCTTTCGCACACTGGCTCTTCCTCTCCCCTCCCATCTCAGTAAACGGCCCCCTCCTCTTCTGGTTGTCAGACCAGAACTTCTGGGAGTCACCTTTGTCTGGCTCACGTCCTTCTCAGCATTGTCACCTTCTCACCTTCTCTCATCCTATGTAAAACGTGTGCCTTCCGTCTGACTCTTCTTTCTCTTGATTTTCAAAAATTGCTCCTTGGCATTTTTACCGCGGCCGTGCTTCCTGAGGGCAGGCCTTGTGTTTCCCATGCCGAGCTGGCCGGCATGGGTGAGGACAGCTCAGCGGGGGTAAAGCCCTGCAGGGTGCTGTGGAGTTGGCAGCAGAGGGGGAAGAGCACTTGCAGGACAGGGAACAGCAAGTGGGTGGCAGGAAGTCAGGAGGCTGGGGGTGGTGGGGAAACCGAGGAGTCCCTGGGCTGGAGCCGGGGGGGGGGGGGGGGT